GAATGTGTGTCCTTTACTCTGTTCTTTTATCTTATTTTTATTTTTAATTGACTTAGTTGCCTGGCATATCAGGTGTAAAACTCTGACAAAAGTGCAGCGAAAAAAATGGTGTCACAAAATGTACGCATCCACCTTCTCAGTAAAATTGAATATTGATTCAATTTGCAATGCCGTCGAGGGCTGACAACGTTCACCAAATTGCATTTGCACATTTCACACTTCGCTGAAGTTGGCACCGGCACTGCTGCAACATGTTTCTCCTCGCATTTGGCGAGACGTTGCGCCCGTAAATGCGATTTGTTGTATATCATATGCTGTGAGGCGAATGCTTTAGAAATCTGCAGATCGGAGTTGAGTAAATGCCAAATTCATCGCTTAGAAGTTGAACCCACAGGAGCCACAACAGGTACAAGATCTCTAGCTCCTATATTTAGAACCTCTTTTCATGGTAATACACTCACATAGTTAATTGTGGAACCGCTAGTGTCTTTTGAACAGACTACAAGATGTTTCTCAGTGTATATGATCAACTGCAACCTGTGCATTCTCTGATTTCATGTCTGTCATTTGTCTGTCCGTTATTCTTGTCATTTGCCTATTCTAGGTAATATTTAGCCTCAAGCAAAAGCTTCGCAATGCTTGGAACTGAGGGAAAGCTGATTGCATGTCTCTTTATCTTCCTCACAGTTCACAGATGGAGCTAATATTTACTGCTGGCAAATCAGTCCATTAAGACTTGGCATTTCATTTGCTGAACAGACCAGTCATTTCCCATGCAAATTGCAATATAGTTGTCAAATATTTCTGGTTGATTGAGATTTGTCTAGACCGGAAATGAAACCCAACCTGCCTCTGCTGCTACTCCTCTGTCTGCTGCTCCTGCCAGAGGATGCCGTCTGTCAATCGGATGACGATGATGGTTTGTACAGCAGGTGCTTGGGCTTTGGAACTGTTTGGACTGCCGAATTTCATAGATACTCGTATCATAGAGACCCACTATTCGTTCTTCACCATTGTGCCTCTGGCTCTTAAGGTTTTAGCATAATTTAAATAAATATTCAACTAAAAAAAAAAGAGAGGAGTAAGGAAGGATAGAAAAGCGACTTAGCGACAATCCGCTTAACTTGACGAAAAATTTTAAATTTAAGCCCCCCCAGTTTCTACTTTTTTTTTATTTTTCGTTTGGCACGAAATAGTTGCTGGCTTTAGAGCTGGATATTTGTCGTGAACCGAGCATTTCCAATCAATTGAAATTCAATGCTGCTGCTGCTGCTGTTGCTGCCCGGGGGAGGATGCCATTAACAACGGATCCGGAAGTGGAGCTTTGGACATGCAATTTAAATTCAATTTTGCACCCAAGCACGAAATGCCCAAACAGCGAAACGCTGACAAACCAAACAGAGGGAAAAGGTTGGTTGATTCCTTGAAGCTCTTATGACAGTTCCCCAACACCATGGGGGTTTTGTTCAACTCGGCCAGAACGTGTGACAGGAATAGAAGGGGGGAATTCCAACTGGCATTGCAGAGGGGGGAGAGCCTCCTAAAATTGTACTGCCATTGACGAGGAATGCAGAATGCCATTCCAGTGTTGGGAATGAGAATGGAATGGAATGCTTTCTCCCTCAGAAGGCATCCCTGTTGCACTGTTGATATATGGGGGCATCAAGATTTTCTATTGGGGAAGAGGTTGGAACCACAAACACAGCCTCGAACAAGAAAGAATTTCGCTGGATTCTTCAGTGAAAGTTCCCGTTGCATTCCTGTTGCATCTGTTTCTATATTTATATTATATATATTTATTGTATAAATTTTATACCAATGTCTGCGCCTGCATTTCAATTGCGGGCAACATCATTAAATTATCAATGCTTATTCCGTTCGCCGTGGAGTGTGGAATTCTAAAATGACGCCCCTGCTCCTGCTCCTGCCACTGCCACTGCCACCCACACAAGTATTGTGTGTGTTCTATTATGTCACAAACAAGTCACACCGACAACGACTATTGCTAAGCGGATTGTGTCTTCTTTCCCCGTCTAATATCCTGGGCCCAGACAATGCTGCTCCTAGTGCTCCATTGTCATTGTCTCCCTGTGTTATTGGATTGACTTAATGTGCCCCTACCAGCCACCAGCCACACTACCCATCCACCCCTCCAGCTGGTGTCACACTATAAATAGATCAGTCAGAACACATACAGCTAACTGCCATATTGTGGGTGATGTTAATCCAAACTGCTCTTCCAATTGGCATTCAACACGTCCACATGGCCCCCCAGTGTAAATCACACTAATTAAATCAGAATGCGGCATTAAAAGTTTACGGCCCGGACCATGACCAGGACCAGGACCTGGACCAGCATCAGCACCAGCACCAGGACATTAATGTAATCATTTGCCATAAATTTGCATTTATGACGCGTCTTGCGTCGTCTCCTGCACGTTGTCCGAGCAATTCGTTTAGTGGCTAGGCTAACGCGATCCGGACTGACATCTTGGCAGCGCAGTGGCAGCGACACGATGTGGCATATTAATTAAAGTGTCGTCGCTAATGAGTTAGATTAAAACGGACAGTGGGACAGACAGGAGGCACCCACGGACTTCAGTTTGTCCTTTCATTTGGTGCGAGTGTGTGCGTGCAATTGGCAATATCTGGGCAAGGAATATGCCGTGTGTGTGTGTGTCGTATTCATTAGTGTTTTTATGCACGTTGTCGCATAATGTTTGCCCCTTCTACTTATCCTTATCCGTTAATCTTTAAGAGCATCTGCTTGCAATTACCAGTTCGTCTACAATAAACTTGATTATGATATACCCACAGTTGGCTAATTACAGTACATATACCCTTCTGTGTGCGCACAATATTAAATGGTGGCATATAATTACAGTTCTACATGTTTGTAATCTTTTTTACCATAACCAAACATAGAAGGCATCCCATAGTCGATAAATCATTGCAATTTGATTTAATTCGCTCTTTCATTTTTTCCCAAGGCGGAAATTTCCCTGATTGAGTTTACATCTAGCGAAAATTATTTTAAACAGAAACGAAACTTTTAAATTCCGCAAAAGGGAAGCCTTGAAATTGCATCAAATGAACAGGAAAGCAACGAAATTTTAAATGTTCCGTTTTGAATCGTCCCTCTTGATAAGACTTTCGTACGCACAGAGAAAGAAAGAGAGACAGGGAAAGAGACCAAAAGTAAAATTTATACGAAAGCCATATATCAGAATTATTCAGCAATAACTATGGAAATGCTGGTAGCAAAAGGAGGGGAGCAGGTGGAAGGTGCAGTGATGAACGCGGGCCAGGACTTTTAAGGCACGACTGCGAAAATACTCAAAACAGGCATTCACGAACAGCACGGAGAACTGCCACATTGCGTGTACTCGGCTGCCACAATTACTACCAAACAATAAGAGCTAGAGAAATCGGATTTTGTGTCCAGACTCCTGTGAATTTAAGTACATATTTATCAAATTCTGCACTCTGATTGCCATCTGATCTTTATTAAAACCAGAGTAAGGAAAACAGCGTGAGGTTTGACATTTCTCTGGGATGTTTTCGATTAAATTGAATTCAATCAATTTGTTTCAAGAATCCCTGCACATCTCTACAATAAATTCAAGCCTCTCTCCCTCTTCTGCAGCAAATACAAAACTTTGTCTCTGTCTCTGACGCAGCCTCTGTCTCTGTTTCTACATATATACGAGTACATATGTATATATTAATATATTTTATGGCGTTGAACATTTACCAACTGACATTATTAATACAAATTTATGCACATGTCATGTGTCTTGTGTGAGTCTTTTGGAATCTTGTTGTGGCAGTTGGCTTTTTAATGGCCAACACAACTGCCAACTGCCGAGCCCGCCCGCCCATGCATTGGTTGTGCTGCCAAGGACCTTTGCTGCCGAGTGTGTAAAATTGCCCTCAAGCTGTGTGTACTGCTGGCCCAATAAATGTTTTATGTGGTAGTATTTAACATACTCGTGTCTGTCACTGGGCGACATTTTCAATTTAAATTCCTCAAGGGTTTTCGGTTTGCTGAAATTTTAATTACAATTTTTCAAATCTTCCTTCTGGTTTATCAATAAATTTTGTATGTACAAAAATGTGACCTGCGCAGCATAGAAAATGCGAAGCTGCACCAGTACAGGCCATGCTGCAGGCCACTAAATTGTGGCAGCAGCTGGCACAGAGCCATCCGGGCTAACGATATCGCCAAAACCGCCAGCCCAAAACCAGACGGTATCCTGCATCCAAAGCGTTGCGGCTGCTGTGACTGATGGTCAGGTAAAGCCTTCATCACAGGGATTATCCAGAGCGAGGGCGGGCTGGCGGTTGGACGATGGAGTGCAGCTGCCTTAAATGAAAACTTTCAGTTCAGCGGTATACTCGTTCTCGTATCTATTTTCATTATCTTTGCCAGAAAACAGAAACTTTGCTCTGAGCGAGGGACAACCACAGCAACAGTTGCAGTCACAGCTAGAGCCAGCACTACAGCCAGAGAGAGAAAATTCACTTTTAATTATTTACAGCTCAACAGAAAGTTGGCCACAAGGAGACTGGCCACAGGAGAGACTTTTTCCCCATTGAAGTTTGCCACCATACAAAAAAAATAGGAGAAATATGGTTAGGAGGGTGTCGAATCGTTTGGGAGCTTCCTGGGGTTTGCTTCCTTCCTTCCTTTTGCAATCCCATTACTTTAATGTGGGAACGGGAAACGGAAGGAAAGGGCGAAACTTTTTAAATCTTTATTTATAAAAGCTTCCGCTGGGGCGGAGGAAGCTGCGAGGGGATGGATGGAATAATTTTGACAGCCACAGTTTTGCGGTTGGCCCTAACTATGTGAACAAAGTTGCTAAATGCCTTGGAAAAACTTTTGCCCTCAGCCACGGGCCGGATAGGCAAAGATAGTAAAAGAGAAAGTGACATACAAATATCCTTTAGTCCCGCTTAAATTGGATTATGTTTAGCTAATTAATATCATCCCACAGTGCATGCGCGCCTATGTGGAGTTCGAGATATCCGAGGGCGCCTATGAAATCTCCTGTCCGGACGCCAAGTGCCCGGCACAGGGCGCCCTCTCCCTTCCCGAAATTGCGAATCTAACCACAACGAATCTATTGAAGAAGCATCATCGCTATCGTCTGAATCGAGGTATGATGCGAGTAATTCAGCCACAAGTACATTTTAAAACCTATTAACCTTTTCCTCCTCCTCCTGACCATAGAAATCGAATTGGACAAGACACGCACCTGGTGCCCCCGTGCTGGCTGCGAGACAATCTGCATGGTGGGCGGAGCAGCGCATGGACAAACTAGCGCCATTTGCCAAATGGACGAGTCGCCATCGACATCACAGAGTTACACACCGCAGCTAGAGGCAGGCGGTGGCGTCGTCGTCGGCGTAGGAAGCGAAGGGTGGACCTAGTTCAGGTGCAGCCGTACTCTCAGTGTCCGTGCACTGCCCCTCCTGCAAGGACGAGTTCTGTGCGCTGTGCAAGAAGGCTGTAAGTATGGGAAACGGACTCCTCTGCCGCTAAGCCCAGCAGACACTCATCCCTAATTCCATTCCCCTGCCCATTGCAGTATCATCCGAACATAAACTGCGAGGAATTCGGTCGCCGCCTGATTGCCGATGGCCAGGACGATATTGGCATACCGTTTGACAATGAGCTCATCAAGTGCTGCCCCATGTGCGCAGTGCCCATTGAGAAGGACGAGGGCTGTGCCCAGATGATGTGCAAGCGTTGCAAGCACGTCTTTTGCTGGTACTGCCTGGCTAGTCTAGACGTGAGTGTCGAAATGCGTTCACGAGTTGGCGAGTAGCTAAATCCGTCTATTTTCCCCATAGGACGACTTTCTGCTGCGCCACTACGATAAGGGTCCGTGCAAGAACAAGCTGGGCCACTCGCGGGCCTCTGTTGTGTGGCATCGCGCCCAGGTCATTGGGATCTTTGCTGGCTTTGGGATTCTGTTGCTGGTGGCCTCGCCACTACTTCTGTTGGCCGCCCCCTGCATCATCTGCTGCAAGTGTCGCGGATGCAGTGGTTCAAAAATTGACGAGGTGGATGCCGAGCTGGAGGAGGAGGTCACCGCCTTGCAGGGCTAGGCAGAGGAACTCCTATAGGCTCGGCGTCGCATCATCATGACGAAACGAACCGAGACGAGACGAGAAGAGAAGAGACGGAGTTAGGCTTCGACAGTTGCCACCTGTAAGGGTGGGTAGCTGGCTGTAAATGCAGCATCTGCCGGTAGCATCTATTGTTAATGACGAGCAGCTTACGTACATTTACACTTATTTTAGTTATTATAATTATAATTGTATATGTGTTAACTAAATTGTGATATTTACAGTGATTCGATTTCTGATTGAATCGACAAATTTGTTGAGAACCTATACAAAGACAAGGCGCCTTCGATTCTTTTTGGGTTCTTTCTTAATATATTCTTTCCACCCACTACTACACGTATATACATACATACATGTATGTACATGCATATATTTGACTAAATCAATCTGTATACATCATTAGGTCCTCTTTCTAGTGCGTAAGTTAGCCTAAATCTATTACGCAGGTGTATGCCTCGTAGTTCAACCTGTGCTTTTAATCATGCCAACACCCGAGACACCCCCAAAACCCAAAACCTGTAAACCACGATACCGGAACCACATTCGCACCCCAAACCCACTCTCTCAAGTATTACACATGCAAATAACGAATCCGAGTAGCTAATTTCGGGTACATTTGTTCAACGGCTTGGCAATGCTTTTATCTACATACATACATACACGCCCACACATACATATAGAAATACAATATACTTGCATATATAATGCATATATAGGAGGTGTATATGTCACTACTACTGTTTATTGAATGTATTTAAATGTAAATGTTATATGCAGCTAAAACAAATGTACGACAGATATATAACTGCGGACAGAGCACGCGACCGGGCCGTGTGCAGGCAGGGCTTGATTAATGTAAATTATTGAATTATTTAATGCATATACACTCAAATATACATACATATATCAAAATACGTTTAACATAATATGCGTGTATATTTCAAGGAAACATATTTAAAATCTACTCTTAATGTGAACAACTACCGCGTATGCTGTTTCAAATAAAAATGTTAAAAGAAAACGCGCGCTCTTTGATCTTTTTGCTGTTATTTGTTATCGATGGGCTATTGCAGCCCTTTCCGTCAAGACAATTGACATAATTCACCAAAAATAAAAATAATTCGTTTGAATTCGATCAATAAATTCAACCATTCAATCGATAGCAACCAGCTGCTTGGTTTTTTGTTGTATTGATATTTTGCCATCTCTACAGGGTAACAAAATACGGACATTCGCTTTCAGTATATTATGTTAGGTATATAATGTTAGGTATTTTCTCCATTTTGTGGTATTTACTATAATCAAAATGCCATCGGTATATTACTCCGCGGTCACACTGGCTCCAAAACAACAGAAACACCGGAAAATACAAATTTTTTGTTTTTTTTGGAGGACAACGAGTCTCTATAAGGTTCCTTTTGCAGCATGGAAGACCAGGCATGCCCGCGGTGCAAGACCACCAAGTACCGGAATCCCTCGCTCAAGCTGATGGTGAACGTTTGTGGCCACACGCTATGCGAGTCTTGCGTGGACCTGCTGTTTCTAAAGGGATCCGGGGCATGTCCCGAGTGCATGGTGCCACTGCGCCGCAACAACTTCCGCGTGCAGCTCTTCGAGGACCCCATGGTCGAGAAGGAGGTGGACATCAGGCGGCGTATCTTGCGCGACTACAACAAACGCGAAGAGGACTTCGGCACGCTGGAGGAGTACAACGATTACCTGGAGGAAATCGAGGACATTGTGTACAACCTGTGCAACAACATCGAGATCATTGAGACGAACAAACGTATCGAGGCCTACAAGAGAGACAACCGTGAGGTGATTCAGCGCAATAAGACCCGAGTGGGTCGCGATGAGTCTGCTCTGGAGGAGATGCTCGAGCTGGAGCGCGTTCAGGACGAGTCTCGCAAGAAGGAGCTCGGTGAGCTGGAGACCGAGCATAAAAAGAAAAAGGCCCGGGACAAGCAGGCCCTCATCGAGGAGCTCATGTACAGCGGCAAGGATGCTGCCCAAATCGTGACCGAATTTGCCGAAAAGGCAGAGAAGCAGCGCGAGGAGGAGAAGCAGCTGCCGCCCCCGAAGCTGTCGAACGAGTTCTCCACGGGCATCAAGTTTGGTCAGACGGCAGATCCAACCTTGATTCCCGTGCCCAAGTCGGAAGAGGGTCCGCTCTTTGTCTACGAGCCGTTACTTGCCACCACAGACGGACCCACACCACCGCCAACTAATGAGATCGAGTCCTTGGGGTACATCACGCACATACGTGCCGAGACGCAACAGGAGAATGCCGGCGGGTTCACCGCAACCATGGCCTGTGAGCGTGCCCTCCAGGAAGCGCTGCAGGGTCTTTTCTACACTCCCACGGCAGGCGTGGCAGCGGGCATATGAGGAGCGGAGCCCATCAATAGGATGACAGAACCACAGCACAGCACGCTTATTTGTTGAACAAATGTGTCCTATATAATCCATTCATCAAACCATAATATACTTAATTTACTATAATGCTTATGATTTGTTAGGTAAGAATAAAGTTTTTGGAATAATACACACGACGAGTAGTACGGCTACGGATATTGGCGATATTGGAAAGAAACCAGAAGCCAGACTCGGCGAGCGAGAGGGTGGGGTTCTCATTTGATTACAGACTTGGTTTTATTAAATACTTGCAACAGTACATATACATAGGCGTAGTATATATATATATCCTAGATAATCATACATTGTGTTAAATAGGGTGGAAGGGGGGAGGGGTCTCTTTATACAATACAATATACAGATTACAGATAAGTTATATGGTAGTTCAACGAGTAGCTCGTCACATTCTAGATCTACTTGAACAGTAAGAGGTAAATATGTTTTGCGATCGTGCGTCACAAGCGAGATTTTTGGCCAAAAACACATGGATGCCGGATGAATGGGAAATGGGGAAATGATTGAAGATTACAGAGTGTGCGGTGCGGATGATGGTAATGAGTGCGATATTCAGATATGGCTTCTAATACATTTCAAATGTTTCAACTTAACTACGATGACTCATGAGTTGCGCTTCGATTTGATGAATGGTGGTTACGGGGCTCCATCTCCAGCCAGGACCAAGCAGCGGCTTCTCGAGGGGGTTGCCTGTGGAATGTGGAAGCAGCTGCTGGGGGGACATCTGAAAGAACTGTCAAACAATTGGCAGATCGTGATCAGTTCACATACGCTTAGTTAGATGATAGCATAACATTTAATTTAGACGTAAATTTGGTCTTAATAATCTAATTTAAAATGTTAACATTTAGTAATAGGGTTTTGCACACGCCTTTCGTTGATTATAGATAGCTAGAATTATGTTGGTTTGACGCTCACAACGACCAGGGCCCGCCGGCACATTTATTGTTTGCCATTCACTACTGATAGGTTTCTTATTGTTGATCTGCCGGACTTTATAGTCACATCCGAGTGCACATGGGTGAGCTACAGCTTAAGCAAATCAGTGACTTGGCGCAGTTGTTGGATGGTATATGGTTCATGTGGATGCCCCCTGCTCGAGCAGTGCGAATGCCTGGGGTCGATTTGGCTGTGTGTCTATTTCTGTATTTCTGTATTGCTGAATTTCTGTGTTGGCATTCATTGCTGTTGATGTGTGTTCTTTGTTGTTTCTGAATGCGTGAAGCAAACATCAGCAGCAGGCAGTAGTAATAAATTGCAACTTTAACTAAACAGAGTCATCTGCAATAAACAGGAGAATAAACACAAACGATGATGAGTTATTAGTCCGTGCATGTACTCGACATTACGGGGTAGTGAGATCACTCGTACGCACCGTGGTACCACCATTTAGTCTTTTTGGGATTTTTATTGCAGGTCTTAACGTATAGCGCGTTGTCTGGAGGACGTTTCTTTTCGCGACAGCTGCTCAACATGGAAGCTATGCTAAGGCACACCGATTGCACCGACAGCGCCGGTGACCAGTCCTCTGTCAGAATGGACAGGCAGATGTGTCCATTGCTGTAGACATGTGGATGCACGGGTATATTGTTGCCAATGAAGGTCACCTGCGAATAGACAAAGGACAGTCAGTGTTTTCCGCATGCAACTTATGCTTGCTTGCTCATACCTCAGGCGAATCAAAGGGATATTTATTGTTAAACTTGAACAGCAACTGGAAGTCCTCGCCCTCGTAAAGGGTGCCCTCGAAACCTTTAATGTTTAATTTCCATCTGTAATCGAGACCAAAGATTTGTAAGTGAGTTGAGTGAGTGAGTGAGTGCCAAGCCGGCGAACAACAATTGCGGGCTTTGTTGTCACATTCGCTAAAAATGGCTCAGGCCACTAAATTAAGTTTTTATTTGTTTGCGCTGCGTTTTTGCTTTTATAATGTGTTCTGTATTAAACCAGTTTCAGTTTGCGCTGAACTTGGCCCACTCCAATCGCTGAACGGTTCAGCTCGGCTCGGCTCGGTACGGCACGGCTGTACTTACTCGGATAAATTCTGCTGTACGCTTTCGGTGTCGACGGTAACACCCGGTGGTGGCTCCTTGATCAGGGACATCAGCTCTTTGTGCAGCCGGCGCTGTAGAGTACAAAGGAAAAGCACGAATTAGTGAATGTCTTTGATGGCATGGCATGCCCGTTCTTCCTCCACTCCACTCCACTCCCCTCACCTAACCCACCCATCACATTTATCTTATCGAAAAAACACACCTTCAGCCAGGGCCAGGCCAGGCCACATTTTCCTGTGGTGTTTTTTTTGCACATCGGAATTGCGCTTTGTGCTTTAAAAACCTTTTGTCAGCCCACACCTTATCTCTGCGCCATTTCTCTCTTTGGCTTACAAACGTCAATAGTCGCTATATAAATACTTAGTAGGGTACCGCCTAGTACATAGTATATGTATGTGGTATATGGGGTATGTGATAAGATAAAAACGAATGGTACTGAAATTTATAGAGATTTGTCGAATGTTTTTCCGTCGTTCTGCTTCTCCAATCGAGTAATTCCCACTTTACAGGTCTGTGGACAGACCAATGTACTGCGTGCAGTGGGTATGCCTACATATGTACATACATACATATACGCATAATACAGATTGATTTTTGTATTTCTGCCCCCGCACAATTGATAAAACATTTGATAAGCGCAATTCTGCATACTACGTCTTAAGGATAGCCAGTAGGGAGTATGAATAATCTTGAAATATTCCGATTTCTTGGAAACCGTTCACACTCACTCAATGACGCAACCGCTGCAGAACAATGCAAATGTATACATACATACATATATCAATTCCCTATATGGGCGGATATTGAATCCGATCCTACAGACTGGTCAAAGTTCAAAGTACTCTCTCTCTCTCACACTCTCTTTGACTCTCTCCCACGTTATGTCTTTGGGTACTTGCCTCCCAGCGCGAGTTGTCCAGCTGCAAGGGCTTGCCGCATTTGGAGACGGGCGGCGTTTTCGGCTCTTTTGGCTCGGATATTATTTCCGATTTGGGTATTTTGTCTTTGGATTTTTTGAATAGCTTCAACATTTTGCACTTTTATTTTGTATCTGATCTGGGAATTTCTCACAATTTGTTCACTAGTTCGAATGATGACACTGTTTGTTCTGTTTCTCTCTCTCACTTTGCACAGGTTTCTCCTGCGTTGCCTAGATAAACTTCAACTTTTAGTTCGGTTTGTCCACTTTGCTTTGCTTTTGTTTCAATATGCCTCCTCGAACCGCACAGCTTTTCCCAGGGTACTGGCACTGGCGAACATTTTCCTTCTGCGCTTTCTAGTCGGACGAGAACCGCCAAGTGCGCCAACGTTCGTCGGACGACTGCAGGAAATCGCCGAGAAACTTGCGGGAGAGACGAGACTGCAAGGCGAGGCGCTTCGCCATGACGGCGCGACGTGTTTGCTGGTGTGCGTATCCGTCGTCGCCGTCGCCGATTCCAACCCCTTCCCAGCCCAACCACCGCCCTGCCGCGTGCTGCAAAATACATTTATTTTGCACTATCGAAAATCGGAATTCGCAAGTGCAGTGGGAAACTATGGAGAGGCGGGAAGTGGAGGGACTACGGCTGCTGCTGCTACTGCCAACAGAGAGACGAAACTTGTTTATAATACTCGCAAAGCGAACAAGTTGCCGCCACATCTGGTTTGTCTCGCCCAGATCACGAGATGGTCGCTACCTTTCGGGTGAAGGGGAGGGTTCCCGCAATGGACAGCAATGCTTATCGGGACACGCAGGCATTACCTGATAAGGAGTCCGATTAGATAAGCAACTGAGATAGGGACACACAAATATCAAAAATAATACAGCAATAATATTGCAAACTCATAACAAAAGGGTACAAAAGGTAACAATGGGGCAGCCATTTCAATGGATGAAACAAATAGATCTTGCCCGTTTCCAATTGATCTCGAACAGTTTATGGAGATGATCGGAAACACAAGTTGCTGTCGGGCACTCGCTCTCCCCAGCAATGCCACGAACTACTTTCGAGAGCACTGCAGCCAGAAGCTAATCATGGCAGAGTCATTAGATAGTAACGCATAGGCAGTAATAGCGCCCCCGGCGACTGGATGGGGGCAATAGGGGGGAAGTAGGCCAGGCCAATAAACACATGCCTAGTAGTGGGGGGTTTATTTTAGACCCCATCAAATAAAGAAAACTCAACAACACTAGAGAACGGAGCGGTACGAGAAACCACCTAAAGCAATAAACAAATGAAATGCAATTCAATCTAATGCCAAAGTCTGGGAAAAACCACTCGCTTGGAATCGAATGAGAAGTCTTTTGCTTTTAGGCCCCAGCCGCACACAGCAGCAATTGAAGCTATAGCCAATACTCGTATTATAGTCTCGTCTGGCAGATTCCTGAACAATAAAACTCAAACAGCCCCAACGCAGAACGCGGAGGGTAAACAAATAAACAAACGCTGACAGACATAGCGATGGGGTGTGTGGCGAGGGGGCAGAGGCCTTTGTTTCTTATTTTTTACGTTATTTTTCGGGGAATATTTTTTGGGTAAACAATTCTCGATTTGCTTGGTGGCTGATGAAAAAGCGTGCCAAAAACAGATGCGGCAGCAAAGTACGAGTACGAGTATTCGTGGCTGATAAACTTTTCCACAGCTGATAAACCCCCGAAATCGGGTGCTGGGAATCTCTGAGTGGGATGGATTTGGGGCGGGGATGATTCACATTGACACCCACAAGTGTTTGGAAATTGGGTTGGGTCATACAGTCTAATCACGCTAGTTCCAGTACCAGACCCAGTACCCGGCAAAGTCCCAGGGCCAGTCCCAGGCCAGACCGGAATAAACAAGCCCGAGCAACCACTTTGGCCAAATTATGCAACTTTCACATGCCCCAAAGCCATATAAAACGATTTCCTGAACCAGCAAAATGCTAAGCGCATTACGGAAGGGCCTGACAGGGACAGAGGGCCATCATGGGCACGGGATGGGCGGACAGGGCTTGGGCTGGGGCCTTGTACTTGTGATTGTGCTTTTGTTTTGTGTTGTAGTTTGTTTTTTTTTTTCGTTGTTGCAACCTTAAACTTGCTGCTAAATGCTCTTCCTTCTGCCCTTCACCAGCAATCGATAAGGCTACGTCATCATTAAGCCGCTCTGACGTCAGAGATTGTGCTTTTTTTCGGGAAATAAATAATCGGAAACCTGATGCGCCAGTAGCAGCTCGAACTGCCTGAAGAGCGACGACATGTGTCACAGTCCCAGCCAGCAGTGCCAGTGGCAGCGACACCATCACGTTCACATTGGATGACAAAGCAGAGGCAACAAGTTTCAGTCTACCCCGTCTCCGCATCTCCGTCTCCCTGCCCAGACCAGTCGAGTCCAGTAGCACGCCGCTTCTAGAGCATCTCCTGAGCTGATTGCATACGTTTGCCTGTAATCGGCTATCAACGCGAAGAGAACGTGGACGTGTTGTAAGTGGCGACACGTGAAAGGCGCGTGCAAGTGCTATAAAATGCGATCAAAGGGGAGCAGGCAGCGAGTGGCAGACACAATTGAATTGAAATTAAATGAAATGCATTGCAATTTGCAAGCAGATCTCTGTAAAATCACGCCAACAATCATGGACAACAACAAATGATTAATTTGTGTGTTTTATTGATAATTGAAAAGCCAAGCGAGCCCCACAAGCACCGGGATCACGGACCACTGGGGCAAATCCAAAGCCGGCCGGCAAAAGATACATCTGCGGATCCATGGTGTGATAATTGAAAGATGTTTAACAAACTGTCACAACGATCAGAGAATTGCGCAGGCAAATACTTAGGTCATTCCCTTCTGTTATCATTAGTGTTTAGGTCTCGTCACGTTTTCCGCGGTCACTGGCTGCGATAACCCCAAACGCGGTAGAGATGATGAGCCACAGATGGAGCTGCCTTCGGCCGAATTGTTATTTAAACTCCCCCGTTAATCGCTCATTGTTTCTGGGAAACGCGTCAATGGCAAACACTTCCTTATAGACTCATTGTCTCGGCTCGTGCTCGTCCCATGCATATTTCATGATGGATACCAGCAGATCAAAAAGAGCCCGTCAATCTAGATACTGGGCAGGGCCTAAGAATTAATTATCGACCAGATTGTCGTTGTAGCGACATAAACTGGTTCCCAAGACTTGGCAGCAGCCGTTGGTTGTTTGATAGTGATAGATAGATAGAATTTGGCTATTTATAAAGTCTCGGGGCGTAACCAGACGGTGGGAGCGTCAAGCAATTAATATTTTGAACGCGTGCCAAAATGTCACTCAGGGAACGAATGAATGTGTGTGGTCGGGAGCGGCAAACCGAAGGGAAACAGATCAAAAGTGGCGTTCGACAAAACTCTGGCAAATGCTGGGAGCACCTTTCAAACGAATGCGGACTGGATTTCGCGACACAAAATCATATACAAAGGCGCGTGCGGATTCGCGTGTCAACGAAAACAGACTGAAAGCGATGGACGCAGAGTCAGATGCGATGAGCTTTTATTTTTGGCGGATTGTGTGCGCCGGAGTGTGTGTGTGTATGCGTTGAGAGGCGTGTCGCAGGGCAACGCAACCGATGTGAGAGCAACCATCTGAGAGTGGCATTGGCTGGGCACAGCACAGGATCGATGGTCGAGGCGACTGCTGAAGGCTGCTCTGCAGGCGCACTGTTTACGTGGCATAAACAAAACGGCAGCAGGAATGTGCAGTCGGTGCAGGGGGAGACCTGCACTTGGTTGCATAAACAGAGAGCACAGGCCAAAGCACATGCGGGTCGATTTGTTGATCCGTATTCGTGGGTGGCAATTAGCAGGTCGGCCTGCCTCAATGACCTCAATGTGCAAAGGCCGTGCGGCACGACGGGACAAAGACGCTCTTTCATTGCCGCCGCTGCGCCTGCTGCAATTATATAATATTCAGAGATGAGTCTCTGGAAAGCTGGGCTTTCGCCGATAAGCCGCCTCGCTCCGCACTTCTCGAATGCGTCACACAGCGCCAACGCTCAAGTCGCCGCAAAACGATAAGGTGACGTTGAACCTTGTGCAATGTGTGCGGAAAAGGAACGGAACAGTCACATGGAGTCAGAGTGCGACAGAAACCAGACGCCGGCAGCAGGCAAACATTTGCACAAGTGCGAATGCACGCAGAGAGGGAGGGGTGGCCTGACTGCCGCTGCCCCAAACACTCACCTCACTGGGCGACATTGCCGTCATGTTGGTCCTCAGGTATCCGTCGTTACGCCGCTGGGACTGCTGCTCCACAGTCCTGCTGATGCTGCCACTGAACTTCAAACAGCGCCTTCCTGTGTGGCGTGGCGTTCGATTTTGTTTGTTCTTAATTTGTTGTTGTTTTTAAAAAAAAACACCTATGAATTGAATATTGTTAAGGGTGCAGTGTGACCGTCTGCAAATGTGCTCAAAATATCAAAGGCGTACAAAAATACGTAGTGAGTCCAGAGCAGAGCAGTCTGTTTTTATGAAAGTAATTTGTTTGCTAAATTGAACTGTTTGCTCCCAGCACACTGAAAACATAAAATATATGCTCACAAATTTGGATGATAAGTCATTTCTAATCCGGGATTTTAGTGTTTTCTGTTTAGTATTTTCACTAACCATACAGTATATAGATGTGCCAGTTCATACAACGAACGTGTCGCAGCTGAGTTTTCAGCGTACGTTCCCAGGTCTTCGGCTCTGGGACCGACGGCGTTCGGCACTGGGACCGACCGTGCTCGGCTAATTACGTGACACGAGCCGACTGGCAGCAAGCATGTATGTGTGTACGTGTAACAATCCAAAATACATGATTGTATGCATAGAATAATTTTTAGCTGCCGAAATCGATTTTGCTTGTGATGTCATTTTACGAAAATGTGTGTGGGCCATGTATTCTCACATACTGTGCTTGTGTGGGCTCTATAATTTTTGGCCGCTTGAACCGAAATTGGTTTTTATTCCCGTACTCAAAAAGAGTTAAGGGGTATTATGTATTTGTGGTAAAAGTGGATGTGTGTAACGCAGATAAGGAAACGTTTCCGACCCCATAAAGTATATATATTCATGATCAGCATCAATAGGCGAGTCGATATATCACACTGATACAAGTGTATTTCAAAATTTCGCCCCGCCCCCTTCTGCCACCACAAAAGACGAAAATCTGTGGAAGCTACAATTTTAAGGATACCAAAAAAGTAAAAGCGTAGTATCGTAGAGAATGCCCATATATACCAGATTGCCGAATCTGAATCAGATCGGATCATAATTATAGCCAGAATGAAGAAATTAATTTTCAGTTTCTTCCCCCGCCACCATCAGCAAGAGACCCGGTACTCATTCTCTTTCTCGCTCGCACACT